GTGTCCTGGGCACAGTTAGGTTAGCTTTACGACATTGCCACATTCACCAGGGAGGCAAGAATTAGTAGCCCCATCTGCTTTGAGAGTGTACAGAATTTCTGCTTCTACTTTCTAGTTCTCCCACCTACAACCTCAATAGCACTCAATATGTCTGATTAAGGTTTCTAAGGCATCAATGAGCATTGTCAAGATTGACCATCTTAGGTGACAATCAATTCAGATTCTTCCCAGGAGAGCTTAAGAGCTTAAGTAACTGGTACCTTGGAATCTCCATTAAATGTTTGTGGAATGCAATCAGTGGCAGATCCCTGGGAAGGTGGAAGCCTGGAGCACTTGAAGTCTTAAATGAGCAGGGTGGTGTCATCAGGGAAGAGGTACCAAGCTTTCCCTCTGCACTGGATTGCACTTGTACCAACCTCTGACCTTGGCCAAGATGTTTCATGCCTGTGGGTGCAATGCTTTTTCTTTTTTCCTGCCTCTATCACTATTTTTATTTCCTTTTTTTTTTTTAAAAAAATACTTACTTTATTGTTATTATAAAGGTGATAAACAGAGGGATTACAATTACATGAGTTAGGTAATGGATACATTTCCTTTCATACAGTGTCTTCCTTACTTTTTCCAAGGCATTAGTTAAGGGCACAAATGATGTCATTTCCTATTCCCCAAGATGTTCTTCTATGAACATCAGTAATATTCAATACATACTGTGTGGATGGTGGCTCAGTGGTAGAGCGCTTGCCTTGCATGTATGAGGGCCTGGGTTCGATTCCTCAGCACCACATAAGCAAAAAGAAAAAAGCCGGAAGTGGCGCTGTGGCTCAAGTGGTAGAGCGCTAGCCTTGAGCTGAAGAGCTGAGGGACAGCGCCCAGGCCCAGAGTTCAGGCCCCATGACCGGACCCAAAAATAAATAAATAAATACTGTGTGGACATGTATTTAAAGATGTTCTCTTTCTCAGCTGAACCCCCTGTCTTCAGCCTTCAGAGATTTTCTTCTACCATAGTTTCTCTGGATGTGTTCATCAAGTTTCACTTGAAGAGTCAAAGGCCTTGCCATATTCTCAAACTCCCTGCCTGCTTCTTCAGAAGACAAGGGGAGCTTTTGCTACCCACTGGTGGGTGACCAGAAACCTCCAACAGAAGTAAAAGGGGATGGGAGGGAGGGAGGAATAAGACATGACAGCTGTCATCTGAGGAGTTGGCTGAGGTGGGGAGGGGAGGGCTATCAGGCTGGGAAGGGGAGTCCAAGCTGCCATGGAGATGGGTTCTGGTGGAGACCAGCCTTGCCACAGAATTAGCAGTATGTTCCTCCCCCTTACCTCTTAATGCCAATTAATCTCTAGGTGCTGTCAATGAATTCTCCCTTTGAAATAAGCTTCATAAGTACGGTCAGAATGAATAGGTGAGCTACTTCACGTGAAATGTAGTGTTCAAGGAATTATCAAACACTCCAAAATGAAGCCACTGGGACCAAATGTAGATTAGCCCCAAATGTCACCAGGGTAAAGGAGAAGCTAGGAAGGATGGTACCATTCCACCCTTTCCAGCATGTTTCTACCCCAGCCCCTCTCCTTTCTTCCCTAAAAAAAGCTTCCTAAAGTGAAGGTGTTCCCCTGGTACCACCTTCCCAGACACTGCTGTGGTTGGACCCTGCATTGTTCCAAACCTTCAGGAACGACTCCTTTTTGATCCTAAAGCATTTCCGATGCCATAACTTCCCTCCTTCAATTTTCCCTCCACCAAAGCTTGCTTTCCATTGCCCGATCTCTCTTCTGGCACTACCATACCAACCTCACTCCAGTCTTTGCATATAGGAATCTTTTCTGAGCCATCCCCTTCAGGACTCAACACCTGTTTCCTCCATCAGAGTAGAACATGGTACTTCAGCATGGTGGGTTCTGGGGTCCAACTGCTTGGTTCCAAAAAACAGCTCTTGACTACTTCATTTACTAGGAGTATGGCTAGAGAAAGGGTCTTAACTTCCCTGAAGTTTCTATTTCATCCTTTGCAAAATGTATGTAATAATGTGGTCCTTGGGGAAATGGAATGAGACAGTGTTTGTGTCTTGTACATAGGCAATGCTCATAGAGTGAGATTCTTAGGCCTGGGTGAACTCTGAGGAGCTGGGTCTGCAAAGTTCCCCTGTACAGCGCTGCCACCCTAGGGTTTTGAATTGTGAATCTTTTAATTCTTCCTGGCTGCTTTGAAATAGGCCTGGCCGCTCTAAAACTGGATCAGATCTTAGACATACAGTGGTTCCAGTGGAAGGTGAGGCACAAAAGACAGTACATGACATAGTTGAATGAGGAAGGATGGAGGAGAGTAGTATTGGAGAAGGAAATGGACATTATTGAACAATGGGAAATACATCCAAGGGGAAAACATGGCTTTGGTGATCTGAACAATGAAGAATTCAGGCAGGTGATGAGTGGCTTTCAAAATTAGATGAACACAAAGCTGGTTCACAACGGAAGTCCTAGCTACTCAGGAGACTAAGATGTTAAGATCAAGGTTTGAAGCAAGCCTAGGCAGATAAATCTGAGAGACTCTTTTTATCTCCACTTAACCATCAAAAAGCTAGAAGTGAAGAGCACTGTGACTCACCCCTGTAATCCTAGGTACTCAGCAGTCTGAGACCTGAGGATTGCAGTTTGAAGCCAGCCTGGGCAGGAAAGCCTATGAGATTCTTATCTCCAATTAGCCAACAAAAAGCCAGAAGTGGAACTCAAGTAATAAGAGTGCTAGCTTTGAGCACTAAAGCTCAGTGCTTAGGCTCTAAGTTTAAACCCCAGGACTGGAGTGTGTACACACACAAAGTTGGAAGTGGAAGTGTGGCTCAAATGGTAGAGTGCCAGCCTTGAGTGAAAAAGTCAAGTAAGAATGTAAAGTCCTGGGCTCAAGTCCCAATACTGGCATCAAAACAACAATCCCTAGAAGGACAATAAGGACAAGTATTTCAGGGACCTCAACTTCTTCAGCTTCCCGGATCTGTGTCTTGGGAGAAAGAAAAACAATGTGACTCTTGGGAAGAATCAGGGTTCATGAGGTTCTTGTTCAACTTTTAGTATACTGTGTCCTTGGAAGGAGATATTACATAGACTGGCCACCTGGTCTCACCAAGTGACCAAACACTGTGGACTGTTCTCAGCCTTGGGCATAATGGAACATGTCTTCAGAATATTAGAGACAATTCAGGCCCTAAGAGGAATCTTATTTATATGAAGCAAAGAATGAAGCCTGTAAATCAAGGTCTGAGTATGCGTGGTTAGTGATCCTGGGTTTGGGGACAGTCCTCATCAGGAGAAGGCCCTTATGAAGGCTGTGGCAATTGTGGGGCCCTTCACTGCTGCTCCTGGTGAAGCAGGCCACACTCCTCCCAGTCTATAATATCAGATCCTATTGTCCAGAGTATAGCAGCCAGGACTGACCTAGATCATGATGTTCTGGTGGCTGGTTGTAGTTCCAAAGGGATAGATTCAAACAATAAATTTTGGCTTGTGAAGAGCACCTGGGGCTCACAAGGCTTTGTCAAAATGACCAGGGACAGAAACAACCACTATGGAATTGCCACCACAGCCGGCCCTCCCAAGGGGTGAGCTTATGGAGAGGATTTAAAAGTCAGCATGTCGGGAGGAATTTTGTCATTAAACTGACCAAACCTTTACTGTGTAAGACAAAGAGCTTGGACCCCTTGAGGATCCAAGTTGTGATTTGAATTCTGTGACATTTTTACAAGGGTAAAATGTTACCACTACTTTAACTCCTGTTATAAACAGCTTTATGATGTTGAAGACTTGTTGCTCAATTCTGTCTTGAATTTTCATTTTATAAAAAGATGTTGAAAGCTTTCTTTATGTTTTAAGAATAATTTTTAGTTCCATATATAGAAAAAGACAGTGCTCATAATGGCTATTATTATTATTATTATTCTGTGTTCTTTTGTTTTAAATCTCTAAATCCTATTGGGTGCTAGTCATCTGGCACTTAATTATCTACTAATTGATGGTATCTTTTATTCACTATTTAAATTCTTACTGTTTAACTTTGCATGTGTGTGAGTGTATGTGTTAACTTCCCAATTAGATCTTAAGCTCCTCCAGGCCTGAACCAGATGCTTTCTTTATATTCTCAACATAGACTAGCTAGGTAAAACTAGGTGCTAATTAATGAGCACTTAATAAAATGAGTAATAAAATACCCACCATCTGCACAGTCCTGTTTCAACCAGGATCTACTTTAATGCTCAAAACAGTTCTTTAAGGTCTACAGTTAGGCCCATTTTACAGATGAGGAAAACAAGTTCCCAGAAAGGAATTTGCCAACGTTCCAAAATTCAAACCTCCTTTATCTTTCAGAAATTCCAAGCCACGTGTTGGTGGTTTATTCCTGTACTCAGGAGGCTGAAATCTGAGGTTCATGGTTTGAAGCCAGCCTAGACAGGAAAGTCAGATTCTGATCTGTAATTAACTACTAAAAAGCCAGAAGTGGGGCTCTGGCTCAAGTGGTAGAGTGCTAGTCTTGAGGAAAGAAACAAAAGAGCCCAGGGACAGCTCCCAGGCCTTGAGTTCGAGACCCAGGACTGATGTGCATATGTGTGTATGTTTGCACACACCCACACCCACACACAATTCCTGCAATGCTGCTTCCTGTGCTCCAATGCCCAAGATACATGTTCCTGGCTGAGCCAGTTCAGCAATTCTGTCATCTCTAACGTTCTTTCCATGTGCTCATGGAAGGGATGCTGGAGATATAACATTAAATTTACAAAGCTGATTATGACAGAGCAGGGGCATGCACACAGTCACAAGGAGTACCTGCCACCTCCCAAACTGGCTGCTAGTGCATCTGTAGGACCACTTGTCCCCTCAGTGGGCAGGGCATTGTAGCTTTAACTTTCATTTTGCTCATTCAGTTTCTCCTACAAACATTTATTGTTTTCTTTTCTTTTTAATAAATAGGAAGCAAAGAATACAAGTTTGGTTTGCTTGCTTTCTTACAGAGAGGATGGCATAGCCCTCCCAGTTGTCTTTTGCTGAAGAATGTTCCTGAATCAAGACAACCTCTTGCCTCTCTCCCTTGCCTCCCTCTCCAGGTAGGAAGAGAGCCATCCCTGGCACTTATGAGTCACAGGTTTGAAATGCAGGGGTGGGGTGGTGAGGGAGAAGTGATGGGTGTGAGGTGGGAATTTGGGGCTTCTTTTATCCCCTGCATCTCAAAGGCTGACAGGCTCTTGAGGGGTGGAAATGACTGGTAATTAGAGAACCTTCTCTGAGGCACACACTAAAGACACACTTCACAGTCTCTGTGACCTCTGCAGCCCGGTGAGGCTTTGTTATGTAGATGCTCTTAATTGGGTGAATCACTGCAAACAGCCAGGAAAGAGCACACTGGCTGTGCTTCTGAGAGTTTTCCTAACCAAGGACTCTAACTCAGGGAGGAATGTTAAGAAAGGGTAATACAAAGCAGGTGCATTTGGTCAAAGTACATCATATTCAAGTCTGTAATGATACCAGTGAGGCCCTTTTGTCAATTTATGCTGATATATATGTATCACACACACTTTTTTTTTTTTTTTTTTTTTTGTATGTGTCGGTCCCTAGAGCTTGAACTCAGAGCTTAGGTGCTATCCCAGAGCTTTTTTGATCAAGGCTATTGCATGCTTCTGGGGGGGGTGACATTGAAAGGTAGTGGTCTGGTCTGATCTCAGCCTCCTGAGTAGCTAGGATAACAGCTGTGAGCTACCAGCATCTGGCTCTATTATTGCTGTTGTTATTATTATTGTTATTATTATTATTTTGTCAGTCATGGGGCTTGAACTTTGGGCCTGGGTGCTGTCCCTCAACTCTTCAGATCAAGGCTAGTGCTCTACTACTTGAGCCACAGTTCCATTTCTGGGTTTTCTGGATGGTTTTGAGATAAGAGTCTCATGGACTTTCCTGCCTGGGCTGGCTTTGAACCGTGATCCTCAGATCTCAGCCTCCCGAGTACCTAGGATTACAAGCATGAGCCACCAGCGCTTGGCTATTATTATTTTTTAAATAAAGGAATTTTGGGGTACTTGGTAGCAAAGGTTTCTGAGTAATTCCACCCTATCCATAGAAGTGGGAAGAGGTCCTCATTATTTGGGGAAATCAGCATAGTGAGCTTTAGTAAGGATTGTAGTAAGCTATGGCTCTTTATCTCTGGTTCTTTCCCAGCCTATTGATCTTCTATGCTGGATAAAGCTGGGAAGACTTTGGAATATAAACTAGGTTCCCCAGGGGCTGGGAAGGTGGCTCAGTGGTAGAGCGCTTGCCTTGCATGCATGAGGCCCTGGGTTTGATTCCTCAGCACCATATAAGCAAAAAGAAAAAAGCTGGAAGTGGCGCTGTGGCTCAATGGTAGAGCGCTAGCCTTGAGCTGAAGAGCTGAGGGACAGCGCCCATGCCCAGAGTTCAGGCCCCATGACCGGACCAAAAAAAAAAAAAAAAAGTAGGTTCCCCACATTCAAGAACTGGCTAGCTTGTTGGGAAGTAAGGAACAGATATTAGTGTACATAGTGCCACCAAGTAGAAGACAACAATGCTGGGCACATGGAGGCAGCATTAGCGTGGGGTTACGGACCCTGGAGCAGTCACTGGTAGCTGGGCCATTACGAAAACTTGTCCACTTGGAAATCAGGACTTGGGAAGTGTTCTTTGGAGAGGAGGGAGTTCTAGGATATGGAGAAAACATGAACAAAGACACTGGATATAGAGATTTGACCCTAGTACCCTGAGGCCCACTTAACTGTCAGAGAAGCAGAGTGCAGTGTGGGAATGACTCAGTGTTCTCCAATGTGCTGCTATTGCCCCTGGGTGTCCCATCTGCTGCGTCCCCTAAGGGAGATCACAATGAGAGAGACTTAAATCTGTCCCAAGCAGATTATCACCCTACTTCTATTTTGGAGAATGGTGCCATCTTGGCTCTTCTTTCCTCTGCCCCCAAACAGGCTTTATGTCAAGGCAACTGGGCTTCCATGTCTTTGAAGTCAATCTTTTATATCTCCACTGCTGCTTCTTCCCCCAAGCCTCAGTATTTGCCATGGGGGTCATAGGATGGGACATGCTTCTAGGGCCCAGAAGGACATTTCCTAGATCCTTGGCACATCTTCCCCACACAGCCTAGTCTTTCTCGGAAACACAAGTGCAGTCACTTTACACAGCTCTTACCGTCTGTCCCCTGCCTACTTCTTTTTGCTGTCTGTCTTGTTAAAGTTATCCCCAAGCCCATGTATAGTCCTGACTTGGCCTTAAGTAGCACTGGACAGAGTTGGCTACTCTTTTTTCCTTTTAGTTCTTAACATTTTACTCATAAAATGTCAAACTTATGAAAAATGGAAAGAATAAGACAATGAACACCCCACCCTTTACCCAGACTTACCAATTCTTAACAACTTTGATATATTGGTTCTCTGCCCCTCTTTTTTCTTTTTCTCTCTTTTTTTGTCTTTGAACTGTTTTAAATCTGTACACATCTTTAGCTGTACGTGTTACCCCTATTTTTTCCGGCTTGTATCTCCAAAGGCAAAGGATATTCTTTTTTTTTTTTTCTCCTATCATCTCTTTTCAGTTACTAAGAGTCTATTTTGCATGAACACTGAACTTAATAAGACTTTTTCTGCATTGGTTGAATCAATTATATCATTTTTCTCACTTAATCTTTTTTACAAGCACATACTAATAGTATACTATGAGAGGTTTCATTATGATATTTCCATACATGCATTTATTATACTTCCATCATATTCATTACCTCCATTACTTTCTTATCTCCCTTCCCCCTCTTCTTTTAATCTTTCCAGCAATTTAAAAATGAGTTTAATTATACCTCATACTTGCATATAATGTACTTCAATTCCTTTGAAAGCCCTTTATTCGCCTATTTTATTTGCTTAGTTTTGTAGTACTAGGAATTGAACCCAGGGCCTGTGCATACCAGCCAAAGGTTCTGTCCCTGAGCTGTATTTCTCTTATGAAATCACAATACAGTCAACACAACTAAAAACAGAACTATTAATTCAGTATTATCAATAATATCAAATAGTTCACATCTAAATGTTCCCAGTTGTCTCTATACAGCCCTTTAAGCTAATTTCTCTCCCATTTCCAGTAGCCAATAAAGGATCATGTCTAGCCTTGGTTGTCTTGTTTTTTTTAGCCCATTTTATCTAGGTCTTTCCAGACCTTTCCCTCATGATACTGACCTTTTGAGCAATCTAGCCAAGATGTCTTATAAAACTTTCTACTTTCTGGATTTGTCTGTTTCTTCCCAAGTAGATTCTAGTTAAACATGTTCAGGCAAAAATAGTATGCAGAGGGGGTGATGGGAGGGTTACTTTCATTGAATTCCATCAGCCCATAGTGTCAATCAAGTTGTCTCTCCTTGCAGGTGCTAAGTGTAAGCTCATGATCTTTAATATATGGGTCATTGTGGAACACTCCAGATCCAAACTCTAGCATTACAAAATCAGAAAGACCTTAGGTCTTCAAAAGCTATGTACATATGACCATATAAGATGATGCTAAGTGAAATGAACTCCAAGATAGGGACACAAGAAGTTTTATCTTTGTTGCTGTTGTTTTTAAATGTACTTATAATGTACTGTGTTTTTTTTTATTGTTTCTTTTGTATGTTCTTCCCCTATGGTATAACCCCTGTTGTCACTGTATTTGGTTCCAGTGCCCGGGATCTTGTATATACATTTTTCTAATTTGGGGAGGGGAAGGGAAATAACAATATGCTGAATAAGGATACAGGTTGACCCATTGTAACAATGAGATGTACAAGACACTATGTTGAAATGAACTTTACAGCTTCAAGGTGAGGAGAGAAGTTGGGGAGGTGGGGAGGGAAGGGATGGTAGGGGAAAAACAAAGGAGGGGGTAAAATGCTTGATAGGAAATGTACTCATTACCTTACTCATGTAACTGTGACCCCTTTGTACAGTATATTTTCAATAAAAATATATATTAAAAAAGGAAGACCTTAGGTCTGCTATTTTGCATTTGAAGAAAGTTTAGTTAGAAGTTCATCGTGGGCATCCAACTAGTTAATGACAAGGCTAAGTATTGAACCCAGGACTCCTGGGCCAGGGTACTAGTGACTACAAGGCTATCAGGCCCTTCATCTGGGCCTCAACCTCATACACTGGTATTTTTCAGATACGGCCTTATTTTTAGCCCAGACAGCCTTGAACACAGTCTTCAGTCTTCCTACCTATGGTTTCCTATAGTTGGGATGACAGGCATGTACCACAAAGCCCAACAAAACCTCTTGTAAAAAATCATATTAAGTGAAGTAAGCCAGACCCAAAGAAACATAGGCTTCATGGTTTCCCTCGTTTGTAAAAATTAGTGTATTTCTAGGATAGTTCTAGCAGAGGATAGGACCATATAAAATGATGCTAATCAAAATGAATTCCAAGATACGGAAATAAGAGGTTTTTAAAAATGTACTGTGAAACTATTTCTTTTTTCTTTATTTTTTCCCTTTGGTTTATCTCCTGTTGTCGCTGTTTTTGATTTTGGTAACCTGTGTCTTGTATATACATTATATATACATATAGATGTACACACACACATATATATGTTTATCTGATTTGAGGAAGTGAAGGGGAATAACAAAATGGTGAGACAAAAGACAAAGGGTGAAGCAATACAACAGCGATACTCACAGGACACTATGTTGGAAATGCACTGTACAACTTGGAGGTAGGGAAGTCGACAAGCAGGGGAAGTGGGAGAAAACAAAGGAGGGGGTAACAGTGTTCAACAAGTACTCATTATCTTACTTATGTAACTGTAACCCCTCTGTATGTCACCTTGACAATAACATAAAATTAAATTAAAAAAGAGACATAAAGAGAGGGAAAACTAGAGACACTGAGAATTAGTAATAATAATAATTAGAATAGTAAATAATAATAAACCAGCATTTGGGAATAAATTCTAATGGTATTCAGTATACTTATTTTCTTTTTTGTGCTGGTATTGGGGCTTGAACCCAGGTGTTGTCCCTTATATTTTTTTTTTGCTCAAGGTAAGGACTCTACCACTTGGAGCTAAGAGTTTCATGGAATTTCCTCTCCAGGCTGGCTTTGAACTACAATTTTCAGATTTCAGTCTCCTAAGTATCTAGGGTTACAGGCATGCCTGTATCCCATGCCTGGCTTCAAATATACATAAAAAATCCAGGTTTGTGTGTTTTTTTTTGGGTCCAGTCGTGGGGTCTGAACTCTGGGCTTGGGCGCTGTCCCTCAGCTCTTCAGCTCAAGGCCAGCACTCTACCACTTGAGCCATAGCGCCACTTTCAGCTTTTTTTTTTTTTTCTTCTGCTTATGTGGTGCTGAGGAATCAAACCCAGGGCCTCAAGCATGCAAGGCAAGCGCTCTACCACTGAGCCACCTTCCCAGCCCTCCAGTTTGTTTTGAATGGGAGCTATTGGAAGTAATTTGGAGCACAGATCATCTTGAGCCTCTCTCATAGATGCAACACTTTGGGAAGGGGCCCTGAAACCTCTTCTTTTCCTGCATTTCCTAAACTCCCTCCTTTAGGCTCTGAGGAATTAGCTACTGCAACAAAGAACATTTTATTTGCAGATACTTAGTTTTTTCTTTTTAATTGAAGTCCAAATCTGGTGGTCTGAGCTTAGGGCTGGGGAATGATTAATTTCAGCAGCCATCCTCACCTGTTCAGGAGCTGGACTTGAAAGAAATAAGGCCAGACTGAAGAGACACTTGGCCAAGAATAGGTAGGAATCCTTAGAGAACCAGCCCTTTTCCTTGTCTCAGCTGATAAAGCACAGTGGAAGATTTAAGGAATCAGTTCCTGTTTGGCTGGTTCTGGCTGACCCTGTCATCAACTCTCTTGATTGGAAATAAACAGGATCTTCCTTTTTGTCCCCAGGAATGTGATGGAGGAAGGACTCTAAGGGAAAAGGTCTCTTTTGCCAAAGAATAACAACAAGAAGGATGACAGTTGGAGTACAATGCTGCCCTCTTCATGTAGGGTGATAAGGGTATTGACCTTTCTCTCTTGTTGACTGCTACAACTCTAGAGCCCAAAGACCTAGGATATCCAGCCCAGGTTCAACTTCCTGCTCAGTGAGCCGCATGACTGTGTTTGTACAACTTAGGCCATGCGCCTCCATGGGTTCAGAAACGAGGCCACAGTTACAGTACTTCTTGTCCATACAGGATTGCAAATGTCTGAGGGAAAGTTTGCTGTCTCTCTAGTACATATGCCTGGGCATTGGAACAGTAGAATAAAATGGTACAGGATAGGGAAAGCTTGCAGCTCTTGTCCAGTTGGATGTGGAAATGGGGTAGGAGACACAGGAAGAATCAGGAACCCTCCTTGTCCTCAGTACTCCTGGGATGGGTTAGACTCATCTTGAATTTAGAGGGATTGTTTGCCCATCTTCCAGGCTGACCACCTCCTATCTCACTGTTCCCTTGGACTTTTCCCCAAGAAAGGAGGGCCATATTACCCAAAGAATACTGCTTTTATTATTTCTATTTAATTTTCCTTTTTGTACAAGATGATGGAGGAAGTAGAAGGATAACTTCTCACTTCCTCTTTTTTCCTTCTGTTTTGCAGCTCAACCTCCACCAGTTGACAGGAGCAGACAGAAGCAAATCCAGTTTGTTTCAGCTGATATCCTCTCCCAACTTTATTCTGAAAACTATTATGACTGAGTTGGAGTGTTTGTGTCCCCCCAAATTCATCTGTTAAAATTCCAGACTCTTGGGCTGGGAACGTGGCTCAGTGGTAGAGTGCTTGCCTTGCATGCATGAAGCCCTGGGTTCGATTCCTCAGCACCACATAAGCAGAAAAGGCTGGAAATAATGCTGTCTCAAGTCGTAGAGCTCTGGGCTGAAGAGCTGAGGGACAGCGCCCAGGTGGAGTTCAGGCCCTATGGCTGAACTTTTTTGAGAGGTGATTAGGTCAGAGTAGTGGAGCCCTCATAAATGGGATTTGTAGACCACCTTGTACCTTCCTCCATGTGACGGCACATTGAGAAAACATCTATCAATCAGAAAATGAACTTTTACCACCCAGAGAATCTGTTGTCATCTTGATCTTGGATGTCTCAACATCGTGAACTGTGAGAAATAAAATTTTGGTTACTTATAAACTACTAAGTTAATGGTATTTTGTTATAGAAGTCAGAACTATCTAAGACAACTATTCTGCTCAAGAACTTCTAGTGGCTACTGTTATGTCTACCTTGCAGGTGCTAGAGCCCACCTCAGTCTGAGCTACCCTGAACTTTATTTTTTGTGATTTCCCACATGTTCCTTGCCCATACAGTTACCTGGCCTCCTTGGTATATTCAGTAGAGATAGGATGGGCTGGGGAGGCAGTTCCAGGCAAAACTAAAAGAAATGGGAGAGGAGGCTGGAGGGTGGAGGACTCATGGGATTATCTTGAGGTACACCCTGAAGATTCTGAGCTGTTGTTTATTAAGTGGGAAATTTTAGGTAGAGTCAAACTAAGATTTTGGAATGATCACCCAGGTTACTAAGTAGAGGAGGGAACAGTGAGACAGTCTAGAAGGATATGTGTGGGGGTGAGGAGATCTCTGTCCACCTTGGAGACCTTGTTAGATAATATCTACACAACAGTCTCTCTTTGAACAGTCTCTCTTCCATGTGGAACAGGGGCAGGAGAGACAGTCTCCAGCCATCCCTCCCAGGGGTGAGTTCTCTGATTTCATCTTTGCAGTTTCTCTGCTTTCCACCAGTCCCCTTTCTCTTTGAGAAAGGCCTTGTGAGAGGTGCCTGAGAGGACAGAGAGTCAGGAAGGTCAGGCCACAGGCTCCACTTCCTCCTTTCAGGCAGGAAAGGCAGACACAGTTCATCTAGCAGAGAAGGCCAAAGGAGGGGAGTGAGGAGCAAGATTGCAGGCCTTGGAAAGGCTCCCTTTGATCTCCAGAGGGTAAGCTTTCTTTTTTGCCTGTTTTCAGCATTTCCTGGAACCCCCAAAATAAACACAGACCAGCCTACATTTTCACAGCTGTACTTGGCTACATCCACTCATCTAGGCAAGTCAGCCCTGAGGATTGAAGCTGCTGCCACCCAGGGCCCATCTAGCCGTGTGACAGGAGGACCAGGATCATCTGAGAGACAACAAGGACAAAATGCTTGACCACAAACATAACTCTTGTTGTCAGCTGCACAACTGGGGGTTTCTAAGTGCTATTTAGACACAGACAACAATAAAACAAAAGCCATATGACCCCTTCTCTGTAGAGGTGCACCCATAATTAGTAATAGGTCTATGAAGGTGAAGTTCCTGCCATGCCTGTGAGACCAGGACTTAATTTTGCCTTCTCTAGCTGAAGGATGCCTGAACCCATTGGTCTGAAGGAAGGCACCAGGGGAGAAATGTAGGCTATGGCCCTTTGCCATGCTGAGCATTTGCAGCTAAAGGATGCTGGCAGGCATAAAAGTAATGCAAATCAAAACAACATTGAGATACCACCTTACACCAGTTAGAATGGCTAGAATCAAGAACTCTAATAACAACAGATGCTGGAGGGCATGTGGACAGAAGGGAACCTTACTGCATTGTTGGTGGGAGTGTAAACTTGTTCAACCACTTTGGAAAGCAGTATGGAGGTTCCTCAAAAGACTCCACATAGAGTTCCCCTATGACCCAGCAATCCCACTTTTGGGCATTTACCCAAAAGTAAATGATCACAAACAAAGCCACACTAAAGCTATGACTGTGTTTATTGCAGCATTATTTACCATAGCTAAGATATGGAACCAACCCAGATGCGCCTCAGTAGATGAATGGATCAAGAAAATGTGGAATATATACACAATGGAATTCTATGCCTCCATCAGAAAGAATGACATTGCCCCATTTGTTAGGAAATGGAAAGGCTTGGAAAAAATTATAGTAAGTGAAGTAAGCCAAGCCCAAAGAAACATAGGTCCCATGGTTTCCCTTATTTGCAATATCTAGTATATGTCTGAGTCAAGCAGAAAAGGTCAGATAAGTTGATGTTAGGGAAATGAAGCCTATGTATTCAAATGTTTTTTTCTTTCAGGTGATTGTTTCTAACACATTTATAAGATTATTTCTTTGTTGCTTTGTATGTCCCTCCCCCATGGTATAACCCCTGCTTTCACTATATTTGAGGTTGGAATAATTTGTGGAGGAGAAGGGAAAAAAACAAATCATTTAAATAGGGATACAGGTGGACCCATTGCAACAATGAGATGTACAAGTTGTTATGTGGAAAAATGAACATTACAACTTTGGTGGGGGGGAGGAGGATTGGGGTGGGGGGGTGAGGAGGAAGATGGGAAGGGATGGGAAGGGGAAACAAAGGAGGAGGCTACTATGCTTGATAAGAAATGTACTCATTATCTTGCCCATGTAATTATAACCCCTCTGTACAGTATTTTCACAATAAAAAATAAATAAATCAAAAAAATAAAAGGATGCTGGCAGGAATCAGGAGCAGCTTCTCTCTTTTGCTTGCCTTCTAGTCTCTCATCTTCTTCCTCCTCACAATGGAGTAACAGAAACCAGAATTCATCTTCCCCAAGGCAGGTCAAGGAAACCAGAGGCCCCCCCCCCCCCCCAAGCAAGCCATAAATCCTCAAAATATTCTTCTAATTGCTCTTCCTGGGTACAAGTTGGTCATAAAGAAATTCTCTGACCTGCCTTATCTGATAATAGGCCATAAAACTCTCATTCCAGAGGGGTCTTACCCCACAGCACAGAGGAAGGAATGCTGTGCAGAGGGGCCAGGAAGAATGTGGACAGCTTTTCAGGTTTCTTCCCTTTAGCTGGTCACCATTACATCACACACTTCTGAACAATCACATGGATCTTTCCCTTCCCTCTTTCCTTTTCTACCCTGCTTCCCTTCCCTCTTTTTTCTTCTCCTTCCCTCCCCTCCCTTATCCTTTTTTTCTCCTTTCAAATATTGTCTTGCTGGGCTGGGAAGGTGGCTCAGTGGTAGAGCGTTTGCCTTGCATGCATGAGGCCCTGGGTTTGATTCCTCAGCACCACATAAGCAAAAAGAAAAAAAGCTGGAAGTGGTGCTGTGGCTCAATTGGTAGAGCACTAGCCTTTAGCTGAAGAGCTAAGGGACAGTGCCCAGGCCCAGAGTTCAGGCCCCACAACCGGACCCCCTCCCCCCCCCCCAAATATTGTCTTGCTATGCAGGCCAGGCTGGCTGTGAACTGAAAATCCTATTTCTGCCTCCTGTACTGTATTACAAGCTCAGTACATCTATATTTCTGAAGGCTTCTATGTCATGAACTCTTTCAGTAAAATACATTTTTCTCTTGTTGTCATCTGCCTTAGGACTGTTAGCTTTATATGGGTGACTCTTGTGGAGGGAAGAAAGGTGTCACATCCTTCATTCCCCACATAGGGTAAGACGGGCTGGCTCTCAGCTACAGTGAGGAGCAAGGGATGACCAACAATTGTATCTGGTAGTAGTTTTGTTCATCCCGAGCATGGAAGAGTCAGGGAGAAAATTCTGAGCCTTGCAGAAGGAGATAGGCCTGAGTTTAGGAGTTATCAGTCCACAGAACTGCATTTCATTCAGACAGGAGGCAGCCATGGCCACCTCTCACTTCTTTACAGGGAAGGTGTGGAGAAAGTGTGTGGGTGTGTGTTGGGGTAACAACCAACCTCACTGATGACTGAGCCTCCCTAAGAGCAGCAGCCTAACATTTGAAAGCATCATGCAGTTGCCTTGGCCATGTTGCTGTGTGGAGAGAGCGAGGATGGTTCCAGTCCAGCCTGCACTTAAATCTATTAAACTTTCTCTCTCTCCACCTCACTGGGATTCCTTTCACCCTTCAAACTTCCCTCCTCCCTACCCAGGCTGGCAGGGGACTTCGGGCCCAGAGGCCTCTCCACCAAGCCGTTGAGAGCAGTTATGTAACCAAGATTGTGACATTTCGGCAAGGCCCGGACTCAGCTGGGGGAGGCGGGGGTCGCCCATTATGGCCTCCCTTCTCCCCTTTCTGCCCTGATTAACACTACAAAGTTCTGGGCGTGGAATTCTGGAGGTCACCTGAAAGGAGCAAGAGCCTCTGGGACGCTAGGTGGGGAGTCGGGGTGGAGGGCGAGAGAAGAGTCGCGCCGCGCGCGGGCGGGCCGGCCGAGGGGGCGTGAGCAGCGGCACCTGTTGCGGTGCGTGTGCGCATGCGCGTACGCGTGTGGCGGCCGAAGCTCACCCGTGCGAGCCCCTCAGGTGGGCGAGGGAACGGTGAGGGGCGGCGGGGCGCCGCTGTGCTGTGTGGAGCATCCGGCCCGCGCCCAGCTTCCGCCGGGTCAGCTGACTGCCCGGAGCCGGACGAAACTGCGCTCCAGCAGCCGCGTGCCCCTTCCCGCCGCGCGCGCCCCGCCGCACATTCCCCACGCCCGCCGGGTCCTGGCCGCCATGGCTGGACTGGTGGTCTGTGGAACTCAAGTAAGTTCTCCTCAGCCGACCCGCCCCCGGCCCGGGGCACCGCCGCTGGGGTGGGGTGGGGGGCCGCGGGACACCCCCCTCTCTCCCCTGAGCAGCCTGGCCCAGCGTGGTGCGGACAGACCCACGTTTCTGCCCTCACTTCCTACTGTGCGAGGAGAAGCCCGACGCCCCCCCCCCCCCCCAGCCCCCTCCATCCTCTAACGTCTCACCGGACCAGCCTCCCTGTCAGCCTAATTTCCCCGGTCCCATAACTGTTTTGTTTTGTATTTGGTCCTGGGGCTGGAACTCTGGGCCTGGGCCCCCTCCGTTGTCCCCCACCCCCCAGCTCTCCAGCCCAGCGCCCCCCCCCCCCCCCCCCCCCCCGTCTAGCACTTGGAGCCAAAGTGCCACTTCCGGTTTTCTTTTTTGGTGGTTTATTCGAGATAAGGGGCTGGCTTTGAACCTTGATCCTCAGACCTCAGCCTCCTGAGTAAGCTAGGATGACAGGCGTGAGCCACTGTTACCCGGCTCCATAGCAATCCGAATTTACAAAGAAGGTTTGATCAGTGCAGATGTTTTACTCTGTAACAATCCACTCTTGGTTGAGGCAGTCTTCGTAGCAAGTCAGTTGTAAAACAGAAGTTGAAGTAAGCGGACGAAAGGGCCCCCCACTCCCCCCCAGGAGGCCTACTGTTGTAGGACCATCAAAATCACAAGGACCAGCCATGCATTTTAGGGGAAGAGGCTGGCTAGGTTCTGCCTACAAGGCAGGCTTCGAATCCAAGGTTGATGGAAGTCCGAGTTCGTCTGCTGTTTTCTTTGGGCCTCTGATGCGGAGAATGAAAACTCCAGTTTCAACTCTAGATAAGAGACCCAGTCTCACCTGCTTTCAACCCTGTAGTAAAGGCCTCAAGGGTTCCATTCAAGGCGGAAGGGATAAACTCAGCCAGGTTGGGATCAGCTATCTTGTATCAACTAGGAAAAAGCCAGATCTCTTGCTAACTCTTTTCAACTTCTCACCTTCTTCCCACTTATTTTCTCTGCATACCAGGGAGAAAGAGTTCTGAATTTCCTTCACAATTCTCCTCTGCCTAAGGCAGATAGGGCATAATTGGATCTTGAGATTACTTTGACTTAAAAGAAATGATTTCTTGCTTAGAGGGCTAAGAGTTTGACACCTTGGAATGATGCAGTGAGGGCCAGTTAATGTCCCACCAAACTGGCTGCTGTTTTTTTTTTTTTTTTTCCTGGAAGGAGTCCTGTCATTCCCAGTTCCACTTAGTTTATTGAGTGATTCCTCTTCAGGAGCTCAGGTATTATTGGAAATTACCTTTCCATTGTCCCTCTGCACCTCCCCCAAACTCCTTTCCTCTGGAGTTTGGTTGCCTAGGATACCCGGCTCTGTCCCTATACTTCAAGCCTTTGAGTTGAAAGATGAAGGCCCAGAGTCCCAAGTAGGCCAGGGAGATACTAGCCTGTGGGAATGCTGAAAAAAAAATGATAGTCTTAATTCTACTGGCCAAGAAGATGGGCTTCTGGAAGTGAATTTGACTGCCTACAAGAACTGGGAGAGGGCTGGGAAGGTGGCTCAGTGTTAGAGCACTTGCCTTGCATGCCTGAGGCCCTGGGTTCGATTCCTCAGCACCACATAAACAAAAAGAAAAAAGCCAGAAGTGGCTGTGGCCCAAGTGATAGAGCGCTAGCCTTGAGCTGAAGAGCTGAGGGACAGTGCCCAGGCCCAGAGTTCAGGCCCCACGACCGGACCCAAAAAAAAAAAAAAAACTGGGAGAGAAGGCCTTTCCCTTCCCTGTGGTTTTTGCCTAAAAAGGAGGGTCTTCTCCCACTCCTTCTGACTAGATCTTGCTACATTTTTAGTGTTCATTTCTTCCAAGTTCATGGATAGTGAACTTGATAGTGGGGCTCAGCAGTTCCCTCTGTCTGCTTTTTCGTTTCTTGTCCCTCATTTCCTGTCTATATCCTGCTTCATACAGTTCAAGGACTGTGAGAGTTAGGGGCTCTCAAGGACTGTTTTAAAAAAGAGGAGGAAAAAAAGCTGCAAGTGGAGGTATCGCTCAAGAGGTAGAATGCAGCCTTGAGCTTTTTAGCTAAGGGACAGCACTTAGGTCCTGAGTTCAAGCCCCAGTACAGGCACGCACACACACACACACACACACACACACACACACACGAGCTAAGAAGGCAGACTGGGTGGTAGTATCCCCCCATTTCCTAAAGTGTCTAGGCCAGTAGAATTGAGAGCACATTTCACACTTTGGTAGATCCTTTTTAAAAATTTAATTAGGGTCACAGTAATATTTTAATAATACATGGATACAATGTGTAATGAGGGAAACTGGGATATCTGTTACCTCAAACATTCATTCCTTAGCTCTTTGTGTTAGGGAATTCCAAAATCGTCTCTGTTATTTTGAAATAGAAAACAGTATCAACTATTACTGTGCTATAAAGAAGTCAGTCCTCTGAGAACCCTTTTGTCTGATCATCCCTTCTATCTTATTTCTCTCACACTAGTGATCACTCATATTTTCAGGCAGATGCTTTTTTTTACTTTTTTTTTTTCAGTGCTGGAGATTGAACCCAGGGTTCAAAACATGCTGGGCAAGAATTCTGCTACTGACCTACATTCTCAGCTCTAGATATCCCTTTTTAAAATTTGTTTACATTAGTTATACAGGGGCAATTTTATTTTTACATTTCGTTTTTCTTTTCTTTTCTTTTGCCTATTGTGGGGCCTGAACTCTGGGCCTGGGCGCTATCCCTCAGCTCTTCAGCTCAAGGCTAGCCTCTACCACTTGGGCCAGAGCACCACTTCGGCTTTTTCTGTGTATGTGGTGCTGAGGAATCGAACCCAGGGCCTCATGTATACAAGGCAAGCGCTCTACCTCTGAGCCACCTTCCCAGCCCCTCATTTTTACATTTCTATGCACTCTGGATATTTCTTGGGGGGGGGGGAACTTCCCATGAGCCCATAGTATTGCTATAGTTTTTATTGCAAAGTGACTGAAAACAAAACATAAAACCAGATGAAACTTTCCCAATTTTTAGAGTCCCATGAGTCTCCAATAAAGGGATGATTTAAGTGCAAAGAAAAGAAATGCTATAAATATAAACAAAACAGTTTAATGAGATGGATGGTGATGTTTGGCTGAAGCTAAATCACAACTTTCCATGCTACTGTGGGCAACTGCCACTAAGCTGGCTTTTCAGAGCTCACAGGCTGGCAGTGTTGCATACTTGGGATGTCACATTTCTCCCATTTTCTCTGTAAAATCTTTTTATCATGCATCTGATTTCATTTGGATTCTCTTGATTGGAATGCATATTTTGTTTTACTGATTTTTTTAATGCTGGTATTGGGGCTTGAACTCACTCGACTTTGTCACTCAAGACTGGGACTTTTACCACTTGAGCCACACTGCCACTTCTAGCTTTTCTGTGGTTAATTGGAGGTTAAAGAGTCTCATGGACCTTTCTTCCTGGGCTTGATTTGAACTATGATCGTCAGATCTCAGCCTCCTCTGTAACTAGTGAACCACTACTACTGGAATATATCATTTATATTCAACCATAACATCCTCTGTGTACTTTCCTATGAACATAAGACAATTACAGTTGTGGTCTCTACAATTTTAGACACACATGCAAACTTGAAAGTTGGGACCTGAAGCCTTGTGCTTAAGAGACATGGTTAACAACCAATATCTCCCACATTGGCCTGACTCAACTATCTAGTAACTGATACTCACCAAGGAAAAATGTTATATGCTTCTAAGAAGTCATCACTTTTCTAGTAAAATGGAGATATGTGACTCACAAGGTTGTTTCATGGGGATTGAATAGATGAAGGGCACATGGTGGATATTTAATAAATGTTAGCACATTATACTTAAGCACATTATACTTACGTCAGGGAGCAGTTAGTGTTAGTTAACAAAAGAGGAAACAGACTTCAGGAGGTTCTGACTCATCTGAGATAACACAGCTAGTAAGAAACAGCACAGGAACTCAAAGGTGTAGGCCTTTGGCTGTTTTATTTATTTATTTCTTGCTATGACTGAGCTTGAGGTACTTCCCACCCTGGCAAAAAGTGAGCAACGTAACATAATCGCTTACTACTGAAAACCCTGTCATGTCTGGAGTCCTGCAAAGTGACTGTCCTAATAGCAAGGAGAAACTTGCAATCATTTGCAGTCTGATTCTTCTAGTTTCTGCTCTACTAAGGGGCTAGGTGTGATCTTTACAGATAGACATTCTTATTTCCCTGTCTGGTGTTCCTTTCTTTTTTTTTTTTTGTCGGCCGTGGGGCTTGAACTCTGGGCCTGGGCACTGTCCCTCAGCTCTTCAGCTCAAGGCGAGCGCTCTACCACTTGAGCTACAGCGCCACTTCCAGTTTTCTGGTGGTTTATTGGAGATAGGAGTCTCACGGTCTCTCCTGCCCAGGCTGGCTTTGAACCGCGATCCTCAGATCTCAGCCTCCTGAGTAGCTAGGATTACAGGCGTGAGCCACCAGCGCCCGGCTTGGTGTTCCTTTCTTTAGGGATCTTTTTTGGGGGAGGAGGGCGGGGTCTGGTTGTGGGGCCTGAACTCTGGGCCTGGGTGCTGTCCCTCAGCTCTTCATCTCAAGGCTAGTGCTCTACCACTTGAGCCACAACGCCACTTGAGCCACAGCGCCACTTCTGGCTTTTTTTTTTCTTTTTGCTTATGTGGTGCTGAGGAATCGAACCCAGGGCCTCAGGCATGCAAGGCAAGCCCTCTACCACTGAGCCACCTTCCCAGCCCTCTTTAGGGATCTTTTTAACTTGATAGATTTTCATTTGTCTGATATGGTTGCTCCTTCCCATTTTTCCACTCAAGGTGAAAAATCTTGGGGTACAAATTATATGAAACGTTTGATCTTTAATTCAGTCTCAATCTAGGATTGACTAAAGGCAGTGACTTCTTGACTTGGATATGCCTTTGTTTCTATGCCATTTAAGATCTGTTATCTCTGTCTTCCTTGTTCTTTTTGCTAAAAAAAAAATTACTTTTGGTCTGATTTTTCTCTTGCATCAGTTGGTCTTTGTGCCAAGAAGCTTCCTGATGTCCTGAAAGATCTGTCTTTTGGTTCTTTCTTTTTTTTACTGGTCCTGAGGCTTGAGCTCTGGGCCTGGGCACTGTCCCTAAGTTTCTTTTGCTCAAGGCAAGCACTCTATCAGCTGAGCCACAGTGCCACTTCTGGTTTTCTGGTGGTTTATTCGAGATAAGAGTCTCATGGAGTTTCCTGCCCAGGCTGGCTTCAAGATGTGATCCTCAGATCTCAGCCTCCTAAGTAGCTAGGATTACAGGCATGAGCCACTGGTGACTGGCTGAGGAAGCACATTTTTTTCCTTTAACTCTTGTTTTGCTTATCCTGGGGCTTGAATTCAGAGCTTATGTGCTATCCCTGAGCTACTTTTTGCTAGCACTCTACCATTCAAGCCATAGGTCAACTTCTGCCTTCTTTGAGTAGTTTATTGGAGATAAGAGTTTCATGGACTTTTTGGTCGAGGCTAGCTTTGAACCATGATTCTTAGATCTCAGCCATCTGAGTAGGATTACAGGTATGAGCCACTAATGCTGAGCTCTTTAACATTAAAAAAATTCCTCCTTAAGTAGATGTACAAAGAGGTTTCAATTCAACAAATCAGTTTATAAACTGATCTTGATCAACTGCATCTTGATCAATGTTATCCCTTCCATCATTTTTCTCTATCTTTCTCAACTCCACCCATCCTTTCAAGTTATGTAGTTTCATTTTCACATATGTACATTGAATATAATGACTGTATTCATCTACCCTTCCTCTTCACATTTCAGAAGTACATCTTATGCAAGTTTGTCTTCTAGTTCTTTCTCAATGCCTAGCAGTGGAGGCTTTCTGATTTTAAGCCTTTCCAGTTGATTTGATCCCTTAGTTTGGTGGACTTAATTGACATCTAAAACCTGCGGCTTGCTATAGAGTTGTACAAGCATGGCTTCCCAAGTTCTTTCTCATGCAAAATTTTGGAGGTGAGTCTTCATGTCTGGAATGGGAGCAGGTTATGTTTTTAGGATATTATGCTAAGATCACATAATAAAGCTGATGAAACTTTTGTCAGAAATAATCTATCTGAATGCTATCCTCACTAGTGCTATTTGAGAAACCACAGAAGAAAAAGGAGAAAATTTGGGAAACCACAGAGGAAAAAAAGGGAGAAAATTTGGAAAACCACAGAAGAAAAAAGGGAGAAAATATTCTTGTCTTTCCTAGGCTCTTGTCTTTCCTTGGGCCTTCTGTGTGGGGCTGAGAGGCAGTTTCATCTCAGCCAGAAAGATACCTTTTGAAGCTAAAGCATCATGATATATGCATTGTTGACTTTTATTGACTTAACCATATTCTCCTGAATTTGTGGTCCCAAATAAGAAGCCCTTGTTCCTGGTACAGAACTTGGACTAAGTTCTATCACTAAGAAATTACGTTACATAGAGCTGGGCTCTGGAGTCTTAATTTTCTTTTATAAAAGATAAAAGTTTTGACAACCCAGATTCCTAATAGATTTAGTCATTGAGCATTCTGTCCAAGACTCTTTCTTCCTTCTCTGCTATGCTATCACAGAGCTCTTGAGAAACAATAATACATATAAAATAGGGGTACATGTTGGGATGAATGGATGGGTTTTCCAGTGAGCCCCATAGGTCCTGGATCAGTGTGAACTTAGATAAAGCTGCTGATTGAGAAAATCTCCTCAGAGATTGATTGGAGCTTTAAAGCTACCATCTTCTCATGGTGTTTGGTTTTTCTTTTTATGTTGGTCGTAGGGCTTGAACTCTGGGCCTGGGTGCTGTTCCTGAGTACTTCAACTCAAGGCAAGAGCTCTACCACTTGAGCCACAGCACCACTTTGTTTTCTGGTGGTTAACTGGTGATAAGAGTCTCACGGACTTTCTTGCCCAGGATAGTTTTGAACTGTGATTCTTAGATCTCAGCCTCCTGAGTAGCTAGAATTGCAGGTGTGAGCCACCGGTGCCTCGTGGTTTTTGGTTTTTCTAGCTCATCTTAGACATAGAACTTAATGTACTACCTAAACAACTCTAAAGAAAGATGGCACCCATGCTTTTTTGTGTTGTTTTTTTGTTGGTCATAGGGCTTGAATTCAGGACCTATAAGCTGTCCCTGAACTTTTTTTTTTTTTTTTGGGTCCGGTCATGGGGCCTGAACTCTGGGCCTGGGCGCTGTCCCTCAGCTCTTCAGCTCAAGGCTAGTGCTCTACCACTTGAGCCATAGCGCCTCTTCCGGCTTTTTTCTTTTTGTTTTTGTGGTGCTGAGGAATCGAACCCAGGGCCTCAGGCATGCAAGGCAAGCACTCTACCACTGAGCCACCTTCCCAGCCCTGTCTCTGAACTTTTTCACTCAAGGCTAGAGCCACAGTCCACTAAATGACCCATGTTTAAAGGGGAGAGACTGATAGATTGAATGTAGAGCCCTTTTTAGACTTCATTTTCCCAAGCTGAAATTGTTATTATTTTTTTATTAAACTCAGCTTTAAAAAAAATTCCCATTTTCTTTCTTCCTCTCTGCCCTCTTCTACCCATTTTTCCCCTCATTTTTTTCCCCTCCCCTTTTCTGGGGCCTTTCTATAATCTAGGCTAGACTTAAACTTGTTATGTAGCCTAGACTGGCCCTAAAGTCATTATTCTCCTGTCTTAGACTTCTGAGTGCTGGAGTTGCAGATGTTTAGTACCATACTTTGTGTATGAATGGAAAGACAGTGAATACAGTTTTTTCCCATTGCATGGGAGAAAGGTAGGTAATCATTAAATGAAGGGTGTTGGGGTGCACTATGGCTTACATTAGGTTGAACCACATGATGTTATGTTTTGTAGTTCTACAATGGTTGGGTATTGGTCAGAGTCATGGTTCAATTGAATCATTGTTGTGGTTCTGTCTGATACCCAAGCATGAGATGTTTGCTATATTTTTGTTCCTTATTTGGAAACATAACACCCTGGAGCAGCTCTTGCTCATTCTCATGTCATTTATCTGTGGAGAAGAATGTAGATTTGTAGGAGACAGGATCAAGGCTGCACAAAGGTGACCAGGTCTGAATTTTCACCTGGGGGTTAAAGGTAGCATACTTTGGGAATATATCATGGATTGTGGTGCATTGGCTCTCTCTGACACATGGGTTTGTTTTTTCCAATTTTGGAAGAGGATCCTGGTTCAAAGCCAGCAGAGGCAGACAAACCAGTGAAACTTCTTTTTTTTTTTTGATTGGTTGTGGGGCTTGAACTCTGAACCTGGGCATTGTCCCTGAGTTCTACTCAAAGTCAGTGCTTTACCACTTAGAACCATAGTACCACTACTGGTTTTCTGGTGGTTAATTAGAGATAAGAGTCTTATAGACTCTTATCAGCCAGACCAGGCTGGCTTTGAACTGTGATCCTCAGATCTTAGCCTACTGAGTAGCTAGGATTATAGGTAATGAGCCACTGGCTCCCAGCTGTGAAACTCTTTATCACCAATTAATTACCAAAAAAATCCAGAAATGGAGGCATAGCTCAAGTAATAGAGTACCAGTCTTGAGCAAAAATGAAGTGAGAGCATGAAGCCCCAAGTTCAAGCCCTAGATTGGACTAAAAAAAAATGAATTGCAAAAACTGGATAGTTGCCAGGCACTGGTGGCTCACGCCTGTAATCCTAGCTACTCAGGAGGCTGAGATCTGAGGATCATGGTTCAAAGCCAGCCTGGGCAGAAAAGTCCATGAGATTCTTATCTCCAATAAACCACTAGAAAACCGGAAGTGGTACTGTGGCTCAAGCAGTAGAGTGCTCGCCTTGAGGTGAAGAGCTGAGGGACAGCGCGCAGGCCTAGAGTTCTAGCCCCATGACAGAAAAAAAAATAAAAATAAAAATAAAAAACTGGGGGCTGGGAAGTTGGCTCAGTGGTAGAGCGCTTGCCTTGCATGCCAGAGGCCCTGGGTTCGATTCCTCAGCACCACATAAGCAAAAATAAAAAATAAAAAAATAAAAATAAAGTGTGGTCTTCTTAAAAAAAAAAAAAAAAAAAACTGGATAGTTGAGAAATGAGAAACCCAAGGAATCATCTTGCAGTCAGAGGACCTGGGAGGTACTTAAATAAACAGGTAAAATTAAATAAAAAATCAAAAGAATGCCTAAGGAGACAATGATGTCATCCAGCCACAGAAGAAATTGTGGTCACATAGTATTGTCCTGTTGCCTTTGAATCAACTCTACTGTGAGTGTGGAGGACATTTTATACACAATGGTGACAGGAGTAGTGGTCTGGGGATATTTTCTTGCCAAGCCCTCCTTAATCCAGTTCTGTGCTGTGTCTGTGGGGACCTATGTCTTATTGGATAGTTGGGAGAGGGATCACAGAGAAGCAGCTGTTGGAAAGGCCCCAGTGCAAGCCAGAGAGGCGGATTGGTGAAATGACTTCCACAAGCTCTAACACTGAGGTTCTTTTGGACAACTGAATCTGACCACTTTCAGTCTTAATTTCCATTGTGCCAGGATTGGTCTCCCATCATGCTAACTATGCCAGGAAGGGGCAGCTGTTGGCAGAATTCCTAAGCCGGATAGGATCATGAAACAATCACTCTGTAGCTTTTTGTGCCTAGAAGCTTGCATGGAAACTTGCGGAAGCAATCATCAGATCAATGACTCAGGTTGTAAGTGGCTGGGTAATTTCTGTTTGCCACATTGTTTCTGTTTCATCTAATTTCCAGGTGTCCTACATAGGCCAAGACTGCAGAGAAATTCCAGAACACCTTGGCAAGGACTGTGGACATTTTGCAAAGAGGCTGGATCTGAGCTTCAACCTTCTGAGGTATGTAACCTTCACAAGATGCAGTCCAGGCCTGGGAGCCCCAGTTCCCCTGGGGACATAAGGGCCTGCAGAGAAAAGTCAAAGGTTCCATCTCTGCACTGAGTGTCCTGTTATTCAACACACATACCCAGACATGTGGAATCACCACCCAAAGTTTGGCTTTACTTGATAACTTCTTGGGTTGCCTTTTTGTACTGCTGAAGAAATGGCTGGCATTTGAGCATCAGCTGGCTTGCATGATAAGGCCACTATGCTGTTGCTTTCTTCTTTTCCTTTCTCAGGGTGCCCGTGCAGATGGGTTAGGATCTTATTGGGGGAAGGAATGAGCTAGAGCCAGCAAGAGTGGTCTGAGGATATTTAGGAATGCATTTTTGGAGAATAACTGTCTTTCAAAGCATTTTCTAAATCACAAGTAGGGTGTGCTTTTTAATGAATCAGAGCCTTAAATATTTGTGAAGACAATCTCTCCCAGATGGCATTTCAGAGGAATCAAACACTGTTGATGTTGCACTGTGGGGTGAGGTGGGCAGATAGGTGGGAGGGAAGGAAACTCTAATAATGGTTCTCATCTTGGCAAAAGGAAAGTGTGATCTTGTCTATTATTCTAGTGGAGAGAACACAGTTGTTTCAGTTCTTCTTAAAGACCTTGTGAATTTTGCTGCTTTGGGAGCTGGGGAAAGAGGAGGCAGTTGGAAAGCAGCTATCAGTGGAATAAATAAGGAAGGCCAGGGTGCTGAAAGTGGTTCCACTCAGAACCTGTTTTCCACTAAGTGCCCTCCTGGATGTCTGCATGATCTGCTTGTGATAGACTCTCCTGGAGAGATGAGTAGCCTAAATCCTCCTCCAGTGATCAGACACTTTGTTGTTTCCAGACCTTGGAGTCTTTTCCAAACTCTTGAGTTAGGATACTTGGGAATTAAGAATTTAAGAAGAAAATGCCAGTGGCTGACACCTGTAATCCTAAAGTGGTTCAGAACCAGCCTGGGCAGGGAAGTCTGAGACTCTTATCTCCAATTAATCACTAAAAAAGCCAGAAGTGGAGCTGTGGTTCAAGTGGTAGAGCACTAGTCTTGAGAACAAATGCTCATGGACAGTGCCCAGGGTCTGGGTTAAAGCCCCAGGACACACACACACACACACACACACACACACACACACACACACACACACACACACACACACACACACACACACACACACACACACACACACACACACACACACACACACACACACACACACACACACACACACACACACACACACACCCCTCAAAAATATTTAAGGAGAATGGACACCACCACTCAGGGCAATATAAGGCACTGGTTAGAAGAGGAGAATGTAAATTTAAGGTAAATCGGCAGAGTGTCTCTGCCTAATGGCTAATGTCTAGATATGAATGGCTGCTCCCCTCCCCTAGCTTTGTGGGGTTCATCCTGAGGGAAATGGGAACAGTATAGCTACTGTCTGTTTTCTGCTTGACTCCCAAAGGCTTTGTGTGTCTTTGGAAAGATGTGGAAATGGAAGGTCAATACGCAAGGATGAGGAAGCAGAAAAAGGTTCTGCCTCTAAGGAGATGAAGGATGGTTTGTGGTCTCAGTGCCTGAGGACAGAGTACACGGTGATAGCTCCCCTCTCTGGACTCAGGCAAAAGGCTCTTTTGCTGGGGCAAGAGTTTCTGCCACAGAATTAGCCTTCAAGGGTTCAGGGTGTTGTGGCTTAGGGATGTGGCTGCTTTATAAATGGCTGATGGAAGCCAGGATGTGGGTTTGGTGAGGCTGGGCGCTGTACGGAAAATGTGTCTGTGGGCATAAGTCTTGGGACAAGGCTGTCAGGACTGAGGAAACAGACCTTTCTTTGTCACATCCTGGAAGAAAAGGGGCTCTTGACTCTGAGGGGCTGGATGTCGGGAAGACTTACTCCAGGAAAAGATGAGCCCTGAATGCAGGACAATTCAGTGAGAGGGCTCTGTGTTATATGGATTCAGAGGGAGAGCAAGAAAGTCTGACATTTTTTATTTTTGAGAGGAGAGAAGCTTTGGTAGTGTTGGGTTGGAGGCATTTGCTCCCGAATCTGTTTCTGTCTGTGATGTGGTCACCATGTGACTGATCTCATGTTGGTCTGTAGCTACATTGGGGCAGGGATACATGAAGAAGTTTATATTTAGGGCTTGATTAAGCTGAAGGGTATTAAAAGATCAGAGTGGAGGAAAGCATGTCTCACCTGACAAGGGTACATTGGGTTGAATCATCTTTGACTTTCTTTATTTGCCTAATTGTGGAACCAGGGCAGGCAGCACTGTTTCTCTTGGGTATCAGAGGATCAGCCAGATCAAAATCTTGAGATGGTTTAGATGTTTAGCTACTATTGGAGGAGAGAAAACATGGAGAAGGAAAGAGATAGGAGTCAGTAACTTACTTTGGGTGTGTGATACATGATCCAAGTTTGCTAGGCTTCAGAGATCAGGATATCCAAGTGAAATATTGAGTCTCTGTCCAGTATTCTGTAGAAGTGTCTCCACCCACAATTTCATAGGATTGCAGAGAGTATATTTCCCAGGCAAATCTGCACTGTACCCCAATTCATCACAGCTCTCTGCTGTGACACTTACCTCTCATCTGTGGTTCTCTTCCTGGCAATTGATGTGACCCCACTTGGCACACCCCATTTTCTTTGAAGCTCTATGTGTCATTGTGTGGTATAGATTGACCTTAGTTCAGGTGTGTGTGTGTGAGAGAGAGACAGAGACAGAGACAGAGACAGAGAGAGACACAGAGATAGCACACAGCAGGAGGCATGTTTAGAACCTCTCTTTTTCTGGAAATATTTTGGTGCCATAATTTCTTCTTGATAGTCCTCATTATGTAGGGCCAGACCTTTTGTATATTTTCCCCTCACTCTCTCTTAGTTCCTTTCTCTGCTTCCATAATTATCTTCAGAAACACAAAGTTCTTACTTTATTGTATAGGGAAACATTAACCCTCTACCCTCCTTTTCTCTGCAGCCTTCCTTTTCACATCCAAAGCCATTATGAAGATATTACTAGAGGGTGAACAATACTGAAGACATGACATTTGTGAATGATGATAGCAAAAAACTCACTAAGAGCTGTTGAATAATAGAGGAAAATGGGGCTAAAGAAAGGGCTAGAAAAAGGGGCTAGAAAAATGAGGCTAGAGAAAGTACGTTAATCAGCCAATCTGATTAAAGTACTATGTATGCATGTGAAATAACATGGTGAAACCCCTTTGAACAATTAGCATACCCTATAAAAATGAAGGACAGAACTATAAAAGAGATTCCTTCTGTGGGTACTGTGGGAGCCAGGAGGTAGAATGGAAAAGGGTGAAGGAGGTGAATATGGTCAAAATCTTTCAGAACATGTGTGAAAATTGAACAGTGAAGGTTGTGGGGATTGGTTTGTGAAGTAGGAGAGGTGGGGGAAGAAAAGGGATGAGGGAGAGTGATGGAGCGGTGGGTGACTGATCATGGTACATTATGTGCATATGGACATGTCAAAATGAACCTCTGTTGTACAACTAATGGATGCTAATAAAGATAAAAGAAAAACTGCAAAAAAGATGCTGCCTTAAACAGATCAATAAACATTTTTTGCTCCTCTTACTGGCAAGGTAAGTTGTGGTCAGCCTGCACAAGAGGTTCAACATATTCATCTTGGAATAATTAAACAGTGCAAACAGCATACTTTTAGAAGGATCAAAGTTGCAAACAGTGAGACAAGATTCCCCCTTCTACCTGTACCCTTTATCCCCCTCTACTTCTGCTCTGAACTCTTAATTACTGTCACTCAGTTTTGGAAGAGTTTTCCAAAGAAGTCCCATGCAACTACAAGCACATGAATTTCATGGCTTTTCCCAGCATTACTGAGTATAATTAACAACTAAGAATTGTCTATATTTGTGTTCTACAATGTGATGATTCCACATATATTGTGAAATGGCCAATATGCTCAAGCTAATTTACATACCTCTCACTTCATGTGATTAACCTTTTTTGAAGTGAGCAAAGATACAATTTGGTGCATTAAGTTTAAGTCTTTACTCTCTCTTGAGTTGTTTTGTAAGTAAGTTATTCAGAACTTACTCATCTCCAATAACTGACCACATCTATCCATCTCTAACCTCTGTAATCATTTTTCCATTCCTAGCCTCTGCAATTGGACTTCTTCAATCCCATGTGTGTATGGAGTAGTATTTGTCTTCCTGGGCCTGTCTTATTTTGCTTAGCATAGTGTCTTCCATATTGTCATAACGTCAAGGTTTCCTTCCTTTTCAGGTGAATAGTATTCCAGTGTGTGTAAGTATAAGTATCACTTTTGTTGTTAATACATAAATCTTTCAGTGGAGACTTAGGTTGAGACCATATCTTGGCTATTGCGAATAGTGCAATGAACACAGGAATGCAAATGTTTCTCATATTGACTTCATTTCCTTTGGATGCCCACCCAGAACTGTAAATGCTGGTTATATGGTGATGCTTTTTTTTTGGAACTTCCATACTATTTTCTACCAGGGCTATATCAACTTACATTCACATCAATAGTGTGCAGATTCCCTTGTCTTCAAACCCTTGTCACCATTGGTTAGTCTTTATCTTTTTGACAATAGCCATTCTCATAGGTGAGAGATGGTATCTCACTGTGGCTTAGGTTGTTGTTTCCCTGATAGTTGTGATGTTAAGCAGTTTTTTCATAAATCTGCAAGCTACTTGTTTGACTTCTTCAGGGAAGTGCTTGTTTAGGTCTTTTGCCCATTTTAAAATAAGTTACTTGCTTTTTTGCTATTGAGTTTCTTTTGTATTTTGGGTATTAACCTCTTAGTAGAATGGATGGTGCTAGGTTTGTTTGTTGTTTTTGGCAGTCCTGGGTCACTGTCTTTTGTTTTTTTGCTCAAGGCTTGCACTCTACCAGTTGAGTCACAGTGCCACCTCTGGCTTTTTCTGTTTATGTGGTACTGAGAAATTGAACCCAGGGCTTTATG